CTTTATTTTGCCCTCATTGACAACTTTTTCTATTTATTTCCAAAATTTTATTAAAAAAAGAGAAAGTAATACAAATTATGAAACGACAACAAAAATTAAATAGTGCTCCGAAGCGACTTGATTGATTCCAGTGGCGCAGCTGCAGGAAAACCCGGAAAAACCTGCAGCACCACATCATCTGAAGAACTTGATCTGCCAATGTCCTCTCTTTCATAGATTGAAATGTAGGTTGGCTCCAGAGGCTCCAAAAAATTCAAAATATTGCCAGAATATTTTAGTGACACGGCTATCGTCAAACTTGAACCAGTCCGTTTCGTCTTTGACCAATGCGTAATAATGACCAGATTAAACGCCAGAACCACAGTGAACAATGCTAGATTGAAGTGTTCATCTATTTCGAACCTTCGTAAGAGTTTGGTGCTTCCGTCAGAAGTTGAGTCATGTTTGAAGATCATCAGTGTTATTATTAGATTGACTGGTGCCACAGCTATACAACTTACTCATGTGAGAGTGGGTTTTCACACCTGGTTATGATCAAATACAAGATACAGGAATCGACTGAGCGCTGAATATGAATTAAGATTGAAGTTGAGTAAAATTGCTCCCAGAATCGACTACATTTGTGACAAAAAATAAACCCACTCATCACATTAAGCTTGTCGCCCTTTTGTCCGGCACAGCACAGAACGGCGCCTGATGACAACGGGTAGTAGCATCGCCCACAAGTCCAGCTTCACCCAGCATACTGAAGGGTTTGTTCGATTTTAAGGGAATGTCAGTTGACATCGAGCGATGACCGAAACATGTCTATCACTAGCAGTTCTGCCGAAGTTCACATTATTGAACGTAAAAGAAAATAGTCACAAAAAAGAATGTTGTGAGTCCATCCCAATAATCAAAAAATGGCAAATCTGGGAGAGTTTCTTCATCTATTCAACGATCTGAAAGAAGACGAGGAGATATTTTTCCAGTGTTTCCGAATGACTCCAGACAAATTTCCAGAACTTCTGGATATTCTAGAGCCTACCTTCACAAGCAACTCAATTTTTCCTCGTCCATTTTCATAGGTACCGTCAGAAAGACAGAAACTTCGTTGTTTGCCGGACTGTATCGAAAAGCTGAAATCCTTTCCGGCGGCGGACGCTCTTGGCTGTGCCGTGCCGGGCTAGTGGGGCGATTGATCATTCATTTCTATTGTTTCAATCCTATCCGTGTTGTGCTGTGCCGGCCAAGTGGGCAACAAGATTTAACGTACCCGCCGGCGGGCACAAAGACGTGTGAACAAAAACGTCCACTATGACAGTGGACGTTAGCCGGATTAATTACAATTATATTTTATTCAAGTACCTACTAATGTTATTTTTTTTATTATTTTTATAAAATAAACACGCAAGAACATTGTAAGTATTTCTTTTTGAATAAAATATTTAATTTGTTCTATCACCTGACGCTATACATGTGTATCAATTGCTTTTTTGTAATATTTTTTTAAAAGATACCTCTCAATAGATAGTATTTTTTCAAAGGAGTTCGCCGTGGTCTTGAAGGTCTAATAGGGGTACGTGGTGACAATAAGTTTGAGAAACCCTGGGGTAGACCATTGATTATTTCCTTATATCAACTGACGGCGAACAAAAAAATAATTATTGAACAAATTACGTAGACATATTTTTTATATAAAATTAGATTTACATTTCTTCCGCTCCACTGGGTTCACCGTGACCTCAAGTTCGATACATAATTCTGTCAGTCGATATTCTCTTAGTGGCTGTTATGACATGTTATAAAAGCTAAATTAGCCCAATTAATTAAACCGTTGCCAAAAATTATCGGGATTCAAAGTCATGTTCGAAGCTTATTGATGTGGACAGAATTTCATTAATATTAATGAGATATGAAGTTAATAGGATACAAATTCAAGACGATATCCTATTTATTCAGTCCATGGCTTAAGAGTTACTTTTATTTTTATTTGAACGACGATAATGAACATGAGTACTTTGAAATGCGTGAATTTATAATCCGTCTGATTTTCGTTGCAGGAGTAGCGTTTATGATTATTCGAACTCGAATATTATTGAACATTCGGAACATGATTTTGGCCCTTTCACAACTAATCTGAATGTCAACATAAATGAAAGAATTTGTTTTATTCAAAAAGATATCATATTTTCATCATATCTTTAGTTCAGACTTGTGATTTCTTCTAAGACAGAAGTGATAATAAATAATATCATTTTGCTGCTCACAAAATTTGTGTAAGTTAGAAGTAAACTAATATTACTAGATAATTTTTTGGTAAGACCCTAATAAATGTCCATTAACTTTGGATAAACGATATAGAGTAATTTATGTACGATTCTGAAAACAAGTAGTGTATGTAATATTGATGACATGTTAAAATTTCGTTATTTTGTTGTTATTTATATTTTGAATTCACAAGAAATGAAAGTTTACTTTCCAAAGAAAATTATCATGACAATTATTTTATATTTAATTTCTTCATTAACCGAATAAACATTGGATTCCCATGAAGAAATGAAATTCACACTGGATGAAGGATGATACTTTCTCAGTTTTTTTATGCAAGATTTCAATTGAAAAATATGGACTCGGACGAAGAAGAAATGATATATAACTTTTTCAATATACCAAAGGGTTGATTTTCAATCTTCCCAAGCTTCATACATACTATAGGAAAGTCGCGAAATATTGATGAGGTAGAGATAGAGAAAAGAGAAATTGAAACCAATAAAAAGTAGATCTCGACTGGTCTTTGATATACGAGTACTAATAAAATAAACTTTCCGAAAGCATCTATCCTAAAATTTATCAAACTCTCATATACAGGATGTCAATTTAAAAATATTTCGCCATGAATATCTTTCCTTCAGGTAATAATATGAAAGATATTGTGATAGTTTCCCAATTTTATTTTTAAACATTGGAGGTTCAGGCAATATTTTCAAATATCGTTAACCTTAGTTTGAATAGCATACCATTTTCATAAACTTTCAATCATCTTTCTAGTGTTGTGTTATCCTGTTGAACAAAAACTATTGTATTGAGTTTTCTTCTAGTGGAAATGGTTAGAAGATAGTGTAGAATCGAGAAAAAAATTGGAAATGAAAAAGTAATTTTCAAAAAGGAAGGAAGGAAGATCAAGGGGAAGATCAAACAAAACAGTTTGAGGAAGATCAAACAAAACAGTTTGATCTTCCTCTTGAAGATGATCACTTGGTGATCGAAACACACGTCGAGGTGTTAAAATAACGGATTGGTGCTGGGAAAAAATTTCACTAATATGTATTACTACACCAAAGGTTTCAAACAGTGCATCACAAGTTCACTTCATTATGTCTACGAATACTAGGATAACATCGAATTTCTAAGAAAACAAGTTCAATAATGGTGATCTATTTAAATCCACTTAGTCGTTCAGTGAAATGTTTGAATATAAAATAAAGAAAATAACTTGTCTAATTTCTACTGTATTTATCATTTGTTAGAACCGGTTTTAGTTTATTAGACCTTAGCCTAATATACCGAAACCGGTCGTAACAAACAATAAACTTAGTAGACCGCTTTCGGTTTATTAGACCATGGTCTTATATACCGAAACCCGTCTTAAAACTTATTATAATTTATTTTCTGTATTCTATAATCAAAATGAATTTCTATAGGTCATCAATCGACCGTTTATGCATTTCCATAACTTTCAAATGATTCAGTTTTGAACCTTTATTTTCTATGTGTAAAACATCGAAATCTCCGTCAAATATATGTGTTTCTTCTGAAAGATGATTTAAATATGTTGATTCCCGAATGCTCTGCTCCAAACAATACTAATGAAATTGAATCAGATATCATTCACAGGATTGCTATATGAAAGAGGTAAAATTTCACTTACATGAAACACTGTCATTCGATGTTTAGAAATGAGACATTTGGCTTATTGCCTCTACAGCACCAATCTGGATAAAATTACGAAAAAAAACACTCAACCATTTATAAAATCACTACTTTATGTCACGAATGAGGTAAATCTACTTATGTCATCGATGACAGTAAGTACGTAATGACATTCATTCACTCATTTGATTTAATCCCTACCAACTGAATCTTATTTAAATTTAATAGGGTATATTTTTAGGAGATATCAATTTTTGGAGAAATCAAATTTTGGCTTCCTATTTCTCCATCTCCATAAAAAAAGTGGTATTCTTCCAAAGAAAGAAAGCAATTAATTTCAAAATGAGTTATATATAGAGATGATGTTCATGCAAATAATTAACTTACAGACAAAAACCATAAGAAGAAGTCCTCTCGACTACTTCCATGTAAACATTGAATACACGAAAGAGAAAATACTTTCGAAACAACTATTTTTATATGAACATTGAATTATACAAAATACACTTTTTTCTATTCAGTGAATACTCCAAACATTCGTGACGGAATTGAATCAGCTTTCATTCACAAGATTGCAACATAATATAGTATATGAAGAGGATAAAATTGTACTTACATGGAACACTATCATCCTCATTGCCGAGCATTCGATGTTTCGGAATAAAGCACTTGCCTCATTTCCCCTTCAGCACAGAGTTATTGTCTTTATTATTATAAAATACCATTTATTCACATTGATGAACAACATTTCGTCTTTGAATTCCTTCTTGAATGCAGACCCAGCTTACGGAATCTTATAGTAAAAGAAATGAATGATAGAGCTCAAGTAGTTTCATTAATTCATGAATTCAGGTGTAATTCATGCAAAGTATATCTATAGTGAAAGTGATTTTTTTAAAACACCAGTTGACCCAGGGATCCATAATCGAACTTCAGAACAAATAATATCTTCAGTTGAAATACAAAAGGTGATTCATTGAAAAACTGCCACAGATTCCACTCAGTGTGAAATGTTTAAATGAGCATATTCAAATGAAAACAAATTTTTCCTTCCATCATCTGAGAATTAATAGTACCTTTTTTTTCAGAAAAATGGATGTCTTTATGAACATATTCGTTGGGGTGAGGCCTTCGTCATAGTTTATTCGGTAGTCGATAGACACAGCTTTCACGAAGCACAAGAAATTCTAGGACAGCTAGTCAAACTAAAGCTCCCTTCCTACTACACGAGTCTTTTACTGGGGAATAAAAGGGATCTGGACCATTCTAGGTTAGTATTTTACTTGATAGGTAGAATGGAAACCCTGATTCTAATGAGAACACTTTTCCTACACCAAAACAAAAGTACCGTCTCTCAATGCGCGTTTCGCTAATCTAGTTTCCATCATTAGGGGATGACTAAAACTGTGTTTAAAAAGTACAATATGATTAACATTGACAGACAGTGATAAATCCTAATTATGTATGAAACATGAAAGCATTATATGAATTTCAGTTATTCTGTGGGGGTTTCAAATAAATAACTATGGTTTATTTCATATCAACAAAATGTTTCCAGTTTCATCTTCTCAATGCCTTCTCTGCATCCCTCTAATACATAGAAATAAATAGTTAAAAAAACTAAAAAACACGCTTTTAAAGAACATCGAACAAAAAAGTTAAAAATATTTTTTTCAAAATAAGCTTAAAACAATAACGAACGAAAAATAGTAGTATTATTGTGAAACAAGCGACGGGCGCTTGATATTCAAAAAATATGACACAAAGCTCCCACGCTTTTTTCACAATAATACTAGTATTTTTCGTTGGTTATTATTTTAGGCTTATTAAAAAAACCATATTTTTAACTTTTCAGTTCGATGTTCTTCAAAAGCGTGTTTTTTAGTATTTTTAAACTATATTTATTTTATCTAAACTTTGGGATCAATCAGCCGTATATTGTTCAGAAAAATGACCATTGATATTTTCCGATTCCGGAGAGGCAGCCTGAAAATCAGCTACCAAGCCCAAGGCAGCAGGCGCGCAAAGGAGGCTTACAAATAAGGCAGCAGGCGCGCGTGTTAATGAAAAAAATACTTTTTTAAATGAAGAAATACATCCAAAGTGAGTTCGGATTATATCAAGGAGGTTACATACAGCGCGATCTGCCCGCGAATAGATCAAGCAATAATGTTGATATGTCAAGGAGGTTACGTACAGCGCCATCTGCCCGCGAATAGATCAAGCAATAATGTCCATATATCAAGGTGATTACGTACAGCGTCATCTGCCCGCGAATAGATCAAGCAGTAATGTTGATAATTCTGTCAAATACAGATCCCGAGCTTGAGAGTTACATACAAACAAACATACATACATATAGGTGAAGCTAATAAAAGGTGTTGAAAAAAGAGACAATTGAAGATAAACGTAATACAAAAATGTACAAAACTGAAATAGTTTTTGAAGTAAATGGAAGTATAAAACTCATTGCTTTGTGTATCTGTGTATATTCTGCAAAATTTCTAAACTGATTCGTATTCATTCGTCTTTCGAATAGTCAATTTCTTTAATATTCATTGAAAATTGCATACTCTGAGGTTTTCAAATAACACATAAAGAATATAGGCTTATATCAATAAACACAAACGAGCACTATATCAATTCGATTTGTCATGGAAGTTTTGTTTTCCGTTAATTCATTCAAACTCAAGAGATTTTAAGATGTTTTCCGTTCATCCAGCAGCAGGACCATGCTAAAATCAATCGCGTAGACACCTAAAAACCGGTTTCGATGTATTTCCTCTCGTCAGTGCAGGGAAGAATCGATCCAAACATCACAGAGTACCTGGAACTCGATTGATTTCAACGCGACTCGACTGCATGTATGAAACATTCGTCTAAGAGTTGTTAACTAGTTACAACTCCATCTCGTGATCAGAGCCCCAGAAATACTCCCAAGTAAACATTCAGTTACACGAAGGAAAAATACTTTCCAAACCAATAAATTATAGGAACACTGAACTTTACAAAAAACTTTTTTCTATTCAGTTTGTACTCAAAACATTCGTTGTGGAATCGAATCAGATATCATTCACAGGATTGCTACACAATATAGAATACTAAAGAAGTAAAATTTCACTTACATAGAACACTATCATTCTCAATGGTGGGCCTCCGTTGTTTCGGAATGAGACACTTGCCTTATTGCCTCTTCAGCGACAATTTGGATAACATTACAAGATAAAGCACTCAATGCATTCATAAAATTACAACTTTTTGTCACGAATGAGTGGAATCTACTCATGTCGTCTTCTGGTAAACTCCCACATTTGTTTGTATAAAGATGCAGAAGTAGAAAACCAAAACTTTGTTTCCAAAGAATTCTATTAGTTTCCAGTCTAATAATCACTCTGCGAAAAAATATCATGTTAATCTGATGATAAGAACCCTCACTAAGGTGAAAATATATTTGTATACTATTTCTTAAAAAATTTCAGGAATTGTTGACAATTTACTGATATGTCTATAGTTATTCAATATATTGGTTCACACATTTCTCAAAATTGATTAGAAATGATGACAAGAGTTTTTACCAAAGGTCTGAAACATTTTTTCAACAGGAGTTGTGTTATACTTCTCATTCTAAATGTAACAGAATGTTCAAATCACTATTAGTGTTACTTAGAAGTAAATGATTGTGGTTAAATTATTGTGTCTCTTTGGATGTATTGTCCCATTATCAGTGATATTTTTATCATGTATGATTTCGTTCGATAACTCATTTTTGAATTATTTTTTTCTAGAAATATTTGAGGTTTGATGACAAAATAGTTCCTTTATAGAGTCAGTAGTGTTTGAAATCGAATTCAACAGCCCCTTCTGAGCAAGCTTTAATGAGGAATTTGAATGTTATATTTTCCATCTCTAATGTACTATGTATATTGCTTTCACGACACATATGGCTACTGTTTATATAGTTTCGCAGAATATATTTACTTCTGTGGTACCTGATTTTCCCTATAATGTTATGAAAGAAATTAATATTGGAATTAAGAGATTTTCGCACAAAAATATCAACCCATGTAATTGCAGATTTTGTAGTGCCAGTTTGTGCACAGCCTGCCCTTTTGGAGTTGCACAGAGTGAGCCAAATTGGCCACTCTTAAAGGGAAACTCCTATTTTCAAACTAGATAGATGAAAAGTGATGGATGTGTCTGAGGATAAAATTTTATAACATATGTGCAGATGTGAAGTGTAGTGAGAGCTCGTGTTGGTGAATCTTGAGTGGCTTGTGTGTGTGTGTGTACGTGTGTATGTGCGTGTATGTATACTTTAATTTGTACAGAGTACACATGAAAGATTATGGTAAACCCACTCTTCATCGTGTATGTAATTATTCTTCATATTTATGAAGGATATCTTCACCGTGTATGAACATTTCAATTTCATTACCCCCTTCCCCTCCACTGCCACCCACTGAATAGATGAGCTCACAGATTGCTCATAAGTAGGAGGATCCTTTTGGGGTTCAGACATGTGTACTCTGTACAAGATAGTTTGTATTTGGTACACATGAAGGATAATCTGCATTACCGTGTATGTCCCTCGCCCATCTCAAGGTCAAACAATCGTTATTACGTCACATACGCACACCCCCAATGTCTCGGACAAAGAAAATGTTCCTATGAATACATTTTCAACTATGCACCAGACATATCGTTCAAGGTCAAAACTAATTATGCACCAGACATATCGTTCAAGGTCTCCCTAATTTCACCTCTTGTCGTTAATGACGTCATAGTGGTGGGGGAGGCTTAGAACAGGCTCAAATCTCTTACTATCCTGTCAAAAATTTCTTGTTTCTATGAAAGCATTTCCAAAGCACGTTTTACGTATAATTTTTTTTCTCAAATGAGATATCAATAGTGATTGATGGAAAACTATTTTTTATACACCTTGTATATTCCTGCGTATTTCAATTAGGCCTAAAATTGCTTTTCCCAAAATGTAGCACACTTGATGTTTTGTTAGTGTCATCTTTGAAATACAGATCTTTCAGGTTTTTTCATGTAGACTTTGAAACGCACACTTCAATCAAGTAGGCTTTGGACGACGCGGCAATGAAACAGAAAGAAATTGTTTAGTAATAGCTATTACATGTTGAGAAAGCTTTTCACAGCAAAAATTATAACACATAGTTTCAATAAAACTGATAAAACATTTACTACATTTACTACTAATAAATGAAACTTCTACAATAAATTTCCTAAAGAACAAATAATGTATATTTTTTCGAAAAAGGTGTTCGAAATGTCTACTAGCTTCTCCTACACACAGGCGACACATTTTCTGTCGAATTGCCGAATTAATAAGTTCAAATCCCATTTTTCATAATTCTCATACTTTATTGTGAATGTGTTTGAAAATTAACCAGAAACGACTACGTCTTCAGTGCTTAAATAAACATTTGACAGCTACTACCAAAGCCTACTTGATCAAAGGGTGCGTTTTTTTTGTCTACATGAAAAAACCTAAAAGCTCTGTATTTCAAAGATGACTCTAGCAAAACATCAAGTATGCTACACTTTTGGGAAGGTCATTTTAAGCTCTATTGAAATATGCAGGAGTATACAGGGTGACACATTAAAACATAGTTTTTCATCAATAACTATTGATGTGTCATCGGTGAATCATCAAGATGAATAAACCTCTGAAGAAGCCTGCCACTCGTGTTTTTTACACCATTGAATTCTACGTGACAAAGTGCTACGGCAATATTTTCATAGAAACATAGTCTGAAAACAAGAGTTTCCCTTTTAAAGTGTCCAATTTGACCCACTCTGTACTACCATCCAGTTGAGTGGTCAAGGTATCTGGATTAGCCAACGTCAAAGAAAAATTCAGTTGAAGAGTGTTTCTGATTTCACTCAATACTGTTTATCAATTTCAAAAACGTTTATCATTTCAATCGCTGAGACTCATTAAATCAATCCCTTTTTGAGAAGTCACAGTGTTTCATCATCATGTAAGTGCAATTATAAATATGTTTCGATGAGCATGTCCGAACGAATACGAAAAATTTCCCACTAAAATATCCATCTCAAAGAATGACCGCACCGCTTCTGAAGGAATAAATGCCGGGCAGAACTTTTCAACGTTTAGCTTAACCAGATACTTATCAAGAAGCGGTAGTGAATAAGCCTATAATCGATCAATATCAAAACAATTAAGATGGCATCATTCACGTTGATACTAGCATGTCTAATTCGACTGTTTATTTTCAACCA